AATAGTTGGAAATGATCCCTCTGGACAAGGACTGAGTGCTGAAAGGAGGTAAAGGGATATACATGACAACCTTTCCGTATCTGTACTGCAAACTGTAATGCCCAGGCAGTGGGGCAGATAGAGAGAAGAATGAAAGTTCCTGCCATAGAGACAGGTGGGGGAGGAGGGAGGGAAACTGGGGACATTGGTGGTGGGAAATGTACACTGGTGCAGGGACTGGTGTGAGAACTTTGTGACTGTGACTGAAACCCGATCATGAACAACTGTGTGTGTAACTGTATCTCATGGTGATTCAATTAAAAAATTAGGATTAAAAAAAATTTAAGTTCTTCTTGAAGTTGGTTGGCTTTCTCATCAGCCACTGCTTAGTTTCACTAGCAAGTGCTTGCTTATTCTCTGTTGCCAGTGCAGCGAGTTGGCTTTAGGGCCTCATTGACCAGGATTAAGAGTTTTGGTGGGAACACCCAATAAGAGAGAGCGAACAAAAGGGAATGCCCTGCCACAGAGGCGGGGTGGGAGGGATGGGGGGTGGGAGGGATACTGGGATCCGTGGTGGTGGGAAATGGGCACTGGTGGAGGGATGGGTATTTGATCATTGTATAATTGAAACCCAAGCACAAACAGTTGTAAGTCTGCAACTGTGCCTCATGATGTCTCATTAATAAAAAATAAAAATAATAAAGTAAAACAGAAAAAACAACAAAAAAAGTTTTGGTGGGCTTGGGAACTTGCCTGGGTTTCTGTCCCTGTCTGCGAGTACACTTTTTCCTGAGTGTGCCCATTGTTTTTTAGTTGCGTGGGTATAGTGGTGGCAGTTTAGATTCCCAAGTTCCTTGATGACTTGGTCTGTTAGATTGTTTATAACTAGACAACACCAATGCTGCTCTGCTGTTCAGGTTTTCTTTTGTTCAGTCAACACTGAACGGTATCCCTCCATAACTGTCCGCTACTTGCTCGCTTGAGGTAGCTGACATGTGGGTCAGTGTAGCCTTCGTGAACGAGGAATGTCCCTCCGCATATACCCCCAACGTAAGATGTACATGAAGTGATTCTTCGCACACACCCACTGGCATCCACGTGGTTTGAGGTGTAGAGGTTAGGGGAACATAAAGGGGGGCCAGCGGGGCATGGGGTGGGGTCCTGCCGTGCAAGGCTGCAGAATCGTGCGCCCCTTGGTGTGAGTGGCACGGGTGCAGGGCCGGGTCCCCTGGGGTAGAGCTAGAGGGCCTGACGCAGGGGGTGAGGAGGCAGCGTGAGGCTGCCGAATCCCGTCCCGGGCTTCCCTTTCTTACCGTCTTTTTTTAGATTTACATAAAATTTATGATTGAACGGTTGAATTATATAGTTCATTATTATATAATGAGAATCCCTGCCCTGGACATCTGTTTCTCTTATTCAGGCAGCTCACCCCATGGCACAAAGTTTCATTAAGTAATTAACAGAGGAGATGTAAATTTCTCACGCAGGCATGATGATGATCCTGTAGACTGCTATTTATTTCGGTGGCTTCTAATTAAAACACTAAGTTGACTTGTGAGGAAATGTCAAAGAGTGGTTTGCTTCGCCGAGAAGTTAGTATCACACTGTCACCTTCCCAGGTGCCAGCGGATGAGGGAGGTGAACAGAGCGATCCCTCAGCAGACCTGCACCAGGACCTCCCATCCATGTAGTAGGGAGCACTGGAGGACACGGAACCGTCACGAGTTAGAGGGAAGTGGACATATTGAAGAGTTTAGATGCTCGAGATTTTTTAATGTCTGAGAACAGTTTCTTGAGTCTGAAAATAAATACATGTTGGCAGACATTTTTTCTGTCTCACTGTACAGTCTTGGGGAACTGCTGCTCGTGGTCGTTTTCCTATATACAGATGATGTCTTCTTCGGCTTATTGACTCTCAGAGGAATCCCTCCCTGAAGGGGGCTGAGTGGTGTCCTTTCAGGTGACCAAAGCATTGCAGCCAGGAGCTGCCAGCAGCTTCGAGGCCTGCCTAGCGACCCATGATTTCAGGAATATCCTATGCCTCCTGCCTGTAGAACAAATGACCCAGTCATTTTTACGTGTAATGTAAATGAAGAAAGAAAGGTTGAGCATGAGGCCATGCAGACATACTTCTTGGTTTTTATTGAATATTCACTGGTCTAAAAATATGAGGAGTTAGAAGAGATCTGTCCAGATAAACCTTCTGACTTATGGGACACCAGCAAGTGGTTTACTTGATGACCAATGATGACTGTGATCTGTATAAATATGATCCTGTTTCCCAATCTTAGGAATCACATTTTAAATATTTTCTTCACATATCATAGCTCTGATAGATTGCCACACTGAAATTAAATGTTCTTCTCCATTGTATCAAAGATCTGCTTTAGAAATGGGAATGGGAAAGGAGGAGGGAGGGAGGGAGGATCCTATACATGTACTGTGTGGTCGAGTTAGAGCCAGACTCACAAGAAAGCAGGTTCATAGGGAACACCAGCTCTCCACTCTTAGACCCAAGCTAGTCCTGCCTGGAAGCTGGTGAGAGTGGGGAGGCTGAGTCTGATTGGCCCCAGGCTCAGGGCACCACCACTGCTGCTTTGCTCTGCCCCGCTCCAGGTTTGGAGTGACTTTCTTAGAAAGAACTCACCAGAGTGAATACCTCTAGAGTTATGGAGTTGCTGGAGGGAGAGGAGGAGGAGGAAGGCCTAAGCCGTGTTATTAATACATACGGCGCCCTTGCTAGTCTGCGAAAACAGAGCCCTGGGGCTCAGGGCAGCTCGTTTCTGGTGGGCTCCTCTTGGCTGGCTGCTTTGTAATGATTTACATTTAGATTGTTGCTTGTTGCGCTCATAGAAGGTGGGGAGGGTCTGGCCTGTCTGGTTGCCTCAGTCTTGAACTGACGGTTTGGACAGCTTTGCTCAGCAGAGCTGGGAAAATGGGCTGAACTTGCCTTCAATGGCTTTCACCAGAGGCCTTGTTTAGTTGGTTTGTATTGGGGGGAAATGTCATGTAGGGCTGAAAGAACTAAATGAGATAAAAAGTGAAGTTTACAGTTGTGCAGAGTGGTGTATACTTTCCATAAGTCAGTGGGCAGCCGGGAGTGGGGGCCAGGGAGACAGGCAGTGCTCTGAGCAAACTGGTGTATGTTCACCCCCCCAAGGCCAGCAGAGGCTCTCCGGTGAAGCAGAGCCTCTTCCTCACACAGAGGGAGGCTGGGGAAAGGTGTTCAAACAGCCGTCATTGGATAGATTCAGCAGTTTGCTGCTTTAAATAGAAAATTAGGACCTCCTGGGAGGGTGATCCCATCCTGAAACATTTATTGTGACAGGCACGGAACTGCATGCAGCGAGCCAGCCAGGCGAAGCTTGTGCCCCTCCCTGTGCTCCAGAACGGTTTCCACCTTCATGCTCTCCGGCGACTCCTTGTCCTCAGTTGGTCCTGCGGCCCAGGCCTGGGCCCCCCTTAATGGGATGTTCACTTATTGCCTTGGAATATACTGGGAGCCCACTGGGCCGAAACCTCACACATTCACTGTTCCAGGGTAATAGTATTAAAAGATAAAATTAAACATGAGCAGTAGATTATCGTGTACAGAGGCGAGGAGGAAAGGCGGTGCTAGATACTGCCACAATGGGATGACTTTTGGGAAGACTTTAGAGGTCGGAGGTCTGGTTGAGTAGTGCTCCAGACACAGGAAGCAGAGTGCAAAGACCCTGAGGGAGGGATGACAAGGTGATGAGACGTGGGGTCCAGGGGCAGGCCCGCAGGGAAGATGAGAAGCAGACCGCATGGGCATTTCTGAAGGACTCCAGGGCTTTGCAGGGAAGTGGGGTGGGTGTCCAGTGTGGTGCTCAGCGTCCAGGGACCATTCCTGCAGTGCAGTGCTGTGAAGGCCAGGTTGGGTGCAGGCCTGGGCTCTCTCCCGGCCCCTCTCTCATGAATTTTAGCAGGACCCCTTGAGTCGGCATGCTGATGGTTACAGAGCTAGGCTGAGCAGGGAGACCGGTTGAGAGCCTCCAGCAGCAGCAGGATGAGATGTGCTGGGGTGGTGTGGCAAACTGGATCTCGTTTGGAGGTGCTCCTTCAGCGGGGGGTCAGCACAAACAGGCGCCTGGCAAGAGGTGCACCCCCAGGAAGCAGCAGTGACCGTTCCCAGGGCCGGCGCCCGCAGCTGCTCCGCCTCCCCGTCAAGCAGGGGTCGCTTGCCACCTGCCTATGGCTGCACGCCCTTGCATTTTGTTCTGATGCAGTATACTCGATGTGACTTGTTCCCCTTCCCTGCCCACTTGCTACCAGCCCCAGCACAGCAGTGGCACCAAGTGCTTTATGGCACTCCCCAGTGGGCACCGGGGCATGGCGTACTTGCCAGCGTAGTCCTTCATCTGAATAAAGTTGGAGTGCTTTTCAGTGGAACGTGATTCCTGTGTGTCTGGTTGTCTTGAGAAGAAATAGGAGTGTCTGGGGCTGGAGCGATAGCACAGCGGGTAGGGCATTGGCCTTGCACACAGCTGACCCGGGTTCAATTCCCAGCATCCCATATGGTCCCCTGAGTATCGCCAGGTGTGACCCAAAAAGCCAAAAAAAAGAAATAGGAGTATCTTCACTAAGAAAATATGGGTCACCTGCCTAACACTGGCTTGGGGTACAGGATGGCACAGCAGGGGTGTGGGGGGGGGGCGGAGGGGAGGGGGTTGGGCTTGGGGGGTTTTGTTCATTTTGTCCACACCCAGTGGATTCCGGGGCTTACTTCTGGCTCTGTGCTCAGAGATCATTCCTGGCAGGGCTCCAGGAACCCAGTAAGGTACTAGGGGTCAAACTGCGCCAGCCATGTACAAGACAACTGCCCTACTCGCTGTCCTATTTGCTCTGACCCCTGTATGGCGATATTAAGAAATGTTGAGATAATTTCTTTATTGAGGGCAACCAGATACCAGTTAGGTGTCGTCCGTAGAGGAACGCCCATCGGTGCTGCTCTCTGGTCCAGCACTCACGCTGACCTGCAAATTTGTCGTTTTGGTTAGATTCACAGTCTGAGAACGAGGCTTCGCCAGTGAAACGGCCACGGCTACTGGAGAACTCCGAGAACTCCGAGCGGCCCGAGGAAGCCAGCCGGTCCAAACAGAAGAGCCGCCGCCGGTGCTTTCAGTGCCAAACCAAGCTGGAGCTGGTGCAGCAGGAACTGGGATCGTGCCGCTGTGGTAAGCATGTCCCCGGGGTCCTTGCCACCCTGGCACAGCTCTGGAAAATATGCCCAGTGCTTCTTTCTCCTGAGTTGTCTCCTGCCCAGCTATAGGTCTCTGACTTGCGATAGCAGGGTAAGGAGATTCTTCCTTTAGGGGCCGGAGAGGTAATACAGCGAGCACAGCTTTTGCCTGGCACACAGCCGGCACCCAGTATGGTCCCCTGAGCACCAGCAGGTGTCATTTCTGAGTGTAGAGCCTGGAGTTGTCCCTGAACGTGGCCAGCTATGACCCCAAAACAAAACAAAACGAATCCTTCAAAACAGCCTTTATTTCTTTTCATAGATAGGCAGGGTCGAAGAGTCACCACACAACTCTTAATTTCTTCAGAGTTGCAGTGTTCAGCTTCAGCTGCACATTCCTCTCACAGATTAAAAACAGATTAGAAATGAATGTTTTTAAGTTCTGGAAGATGCATCATTAATTCAGATATGAAGGTAATTTGGAATGAGCTTTTTACCATGTAAACTGAAACCTTTCTCCTTCCTGTCCTTTAATTTTTGCTTTGGGCAGTGCCAGCGATGGAACCCAGGTCTCATGCATGCTCTTAAACACTGAGCCATGTCTCTATCCACATCGCCTGTAACGTTTCATTTCAAAGTTGTTTTATTGGGGACTGAGCGTCATCCAGTGGTTGAGATGCCTGCCTTGCACGCAGTGCTGGCCCGAGCGCGACTGTGGTGGCCTGCAGAACCCCCGGCACTACGGGACCAGAGGGGTCTCATGCTCTAGCTCTTAGGGAATCCCGGAGGGCCTTGCTCCCTCCTGGGAGCTTCTCCTTCCCTGTGAAATGTGTTAATTATTTGAACTGTAATTTAACAGCTGACTCCTCGAGATAACTCAAAAGTAACCTTTCGTCTGCATCATCTAATGTGGCAACAGCTAGAATCCTCACGCAGGAAGGTCTTTTTTAAAACCATGACTGTCAGCAGCAGACCTAAACTTAGACCAGCCTGTTCTCTTCCTGTGACCATCTATGTCATGTCACATAGGGGGATAACTTTTGCTGCATTATTTGGGCTGGCTTAAAGAGTGTTCTACTCCCTCTTTATTTTCTGATTTTGAAGCAGACTGTTATCAAATTGGTTTGTGGGACAAGCCTGTCATCGGGCAGATTTTGAGGCCTGGCTCTCGCCTCTTACCCCGTCCTCCAGAGAAACCTCCTGTCCCATGGGAATCATTAGTTGTGCAGTCCAGGTGCAGAGATCTCTGAAGCAGTGACTTGTACTACTGCTTTCGTTTATCCCACTAGAGTCGGAAAAGTAGGAGGAACTTCTCGTGGAAATTTAGTTGGAACTCTTACTCCGCCGTGACTACATGTATGTGTGTTGTGTTTTCTGGTGTGTGGTAGCAAGCATCAGAGACACATATTCCACTTCAGAAACGAGGGCCGGCATGGGCATCCCAGGGGTCCCCAGCTCTGTGTGCAGTGCTGTCTTACTAAAGGCATGTGGGACAGGGAAGGAAGGGTCAGGGAGGAGCAGAGGCCTCCACAGAGTTTCCAGATGTCAGTTGTATGTGACACGACCCAGGAAGCCCAGGGTCTCGCGCCTCGTTCATTTTGTGATCAGCTTGCCAGGCCATTTTAATTCTGGGTGCGGTAAAGAAATCACTCCTGGCTAACCAGGGAACTCTGGCTTGATAACTCACCAGTTTTGCCGTTCAGTGCAGTATTTGCCTACTCATTTGTGGTTTCTAAATTCTTGTTTGGTCTTCAGGTAACTCCAGAGACTCAGAGGGCCCCTCTTGTACCATCTGGAGGCTCCTGCCATTCCGTCTTTGCCTTCGTAGCATAGACCATTGGTTGTTCCAAAAATAGACTCATGGGATTTTCAGGTTTTTTGCTACCTTATATTCTTGTTTCCTTCTTAAAAAGAAACAGAATCCTGGGTATTACATGAGATTTGTCCTCGTGGATCAAGCAGTTGGTCCATCAAAAGTGCTGTCTTGCCGCTGGCAGTGGCTAATATCTCCTTCCTTGTCAGACAGCCTGCGGGAATTCACAATTCAGAGCTGAGAGACAGAAAGGTGCTTACCCTGCTCTCAGTTTACCCTTCAGCCTTGATGCAAGCCGCCTAATTTTCTAGAGGTCTTAAGCACCCAGCGGAAAAAGGATTCACCTGAAGCCAACCTGGCAGTCTCTGCAGAGTGCAGATTGGTCTGCTCTGCCCTTCACCTCTTGGAGAGGAGACTGAATTTCGAAGTGCCTGTTGGGTTTGCTACAGATGTTTAAGAACGATTGATGCCTCGCAGCTTGGCTTGTGCACGATTCTGAGGGGCTCCTTATGGAGAGATTTGATTTTTCTGCTGGAGAAGAAAGTCCTGCACTTTCCGTGCTCCCTCCTGATGTCGCGTTCCCGACAGAGCAGAGAGTTGTCAGAGACCACTCTGTGCCTGGGAAAACGTCTGAGTCAGCAGACAGAGGCTCGAGAGACGGAGGAGAGCAGTGGGGGCATATGCCTGGGGACTGTCTTTGGTAAACAGCTCTCGTGTTCATTCTACCAGTCTGCCTGTGTCTCTAGGAAAAGTTGAGCTGTGTAGTTATGTCCTTAGGATGCACAGCGTGTGGAAGAGGCATTTAACTGCCCTGGAGATTTTAGAGCAGGGAAGCACAGACATTTACTGCTGAGAGTGAAGACTTAGGAGGGATGCTTGAACTCACAGCACTGCTTCACTGCAGAAAGTCCTAAAAATATATGTGCATATATAGGGAGGTATATGTGTTCACAATCTTTTTTCCCATTACCCTTCCACTCTGTACAGGTTATTAACTGCTGACAAGAAATTCACATCTCATAAATAATGCTTAAGAGCCATTGCTATATAAATTGAATGTGTTATGAATTGTGATGGGCCTTTTTGTAGCATTCAGTGCCTAGAGCAGGAAGAACAGAGGATGTCATTTTCATTAATTTCTAATGAGGTGCCAATTAAAGACAGGGAAGATGCTCCAAAGGGAAGAGTGGCCAAGCTCCCCTGAATCCTCCGCCTCAGGGCTGTCATCCAAACACTGCCAGCAAGCCTCCTCTGAAAACTCCATTAAATTACAGTCTTGTGGAGAGCACACACAGTCACTTTCAGCTTCCCTTTGATCTTCAAAAGAGCAATTTGTAGGGCTAGTTCTGAGCCTTCTCACATAGGAAACAAGCTAGAGGTGATAGGAATTGTTAATTGCCAAGACCCTCCTTGGGCTTTCAGTAAGGAGGTGAATTTCGAAGATGAATCTCTTCTGCCTTGTTGTGACTAGATAACCTTTAAATCGACAATACCAGCGTCATACCCTTCTGTGAAACCTTTCAGGTGCCGGTAGGACAGGCGAGTGGGGAGGCTGGGGTGTTACCCTGCATCCTGGAGTTACCTTCAGCAGTTTAACGTCTCAAGATAGAAAACAACTGCACAAAAATGGATTTATTTGTTTCATTTTCTACTCAGTAGGCAAATTGATCTGCTCATTCTCATTATGTGAGCCTGTCTCTCCAAGTGCCACCCAGAGGGTGCTCTCCTGGAATCTGGCTGCCCTCATCAGATCAGGCCACATCGTCGCCACATGAACGCTATCTTCCAAGCAGACCTTGCATGATAGACTCAGCATCGCTTTATAGTTGCAGTGCATTGTTTCACAGAATCATAATTAATTTTTCAAGACCAGTCTAAGTAAGCACTCGTATAACTTACTGCATATTTTTTAATTGACAATGACTTAACAAAGTGTAAGCTAATGAACTCCCTTTCGGGGCAGTAGTGCTTTTACTAACCTCCTGAATAATCTGATTTTCTTAATTGCTTTTAAAATAAATTTTATATTCACCGTAGAAGCACTTTAGAGTGATGCTTTACCTGGGATGTTTAGTTTATCATTTCTCACTGTCACAGTGGTTTCTTCTGGGTTATTCACTGTTGAGTTCTGCACTTAGAGATGATGATAGTGTACCAAGTGCATTTTGCTAGGGAATGTGGGAACCAGAAATATAAAATGTAGGATCTCATAGTCTGTCTAGTCTGTGGTTTGAAATTTGTCATCAGAATTATAAAAAACTGTTGAAATATAGATCGCCGGTCATCCTTCCCTCCCAGAACTACTGAGTAGGCTAGACATGTTAAACAAATGATCTTTATCTGGTTGACGCTACTGGTCTGAGGAGCATGCTGACAGAACCACTGCTTTAAGCACTTCTCAGTTCTGCAAAGTTTATTAAAAAGCGTACCCTGAAGGAGATGAGAAGAGGCCTCGAGGTAGTGTTGGGTTTGGTGTGGAAGCACACTTGTCTGTCTGGGCTGCTGCTAGTGCCGCCCAGTGCTGTGGACTCCACCCAGACCCCCAGCATGTGTAGTCCCCAATGCTGGCCTTCCGTCTGTCTCTTCAGGCTTTGTTTTACTTCTTCATTCGGAAAGGGAAGGTTTTCCTGGACCCCTTCAGATAAGTCGCAAGCACCATGATCCTTTAATCCTGTAAACTTCAGTGACTGTTTCCTAAGAGTCGGTGTGTTGGCCAGAGCGGTACACAGCCTCAGCATGTGCCTTGCAGGCAGCCCACCCAGGCAGATCCCCGGCACCCATCTGGTTCCCCAAGCCCACCACGACTGTCCCTGAGCATTGCCCGGTGTGACCCCCCTCTCTCCCTCCCTAAAAAATCCAAAAAGAATAGGCGTTTTATTTTATATGATCACATTTTATATAAACAACATCAGTAAATTGATACTGCATTACTTTTATCAAACCTTTTGTCCGTATTCCAGTTTCCTCACTTGATTGACTGAAGATCTTCTTAAAAGCTTTTTTTCCCTCTCTCATCAATTCAGTCTATGATCAGGTGTTAAATTTTATTGTCATATATCTTTTACTGTAGAATGTTTTCATAGCCTTTATTTTTAATGATATTGACATTTTGGGCAAAAATGTCCTTTTAACCTCTTCCCCAATCCCCTGGTTTCTTTTTTTTTCTCTCTCTTTTTCCACTA